ATACTTTATGAAAAATATTTTTTTTTAAATTGTAAAATATTAATAAAGACTAATTTGTAATATACTAAAACCTAATAATTGATAGCGCTAAATATTAGTAAATTAACAATAATAGTATTACTTGAAGTCAAACTAACAGCAATGTTATTTTTGAAACTTCAATTCTTTAAAAAAAAAAGTTAAAACTTCATTATTAATTTTGGTCTCACAACAAAGCAACCCATAAACATGTTAAAAAAACACATTTAATTTACTTAATTTTTAACAATTTTTAGTTATGTTATTAAAAAAATACTTTAATCAAAAACTGATTTAAATTTCAATTACATTTTAATGATTGTATTAACAGATTTTATGATTTTAAGTAATTTTACTAATTTTAATCCAAAAATAGATTATTATGTGAACCCCTATAAAACAGGTGTCCAAATTTTATAGATATAAATAATTTTTCATTAGGTTCTTCAACTGAGCAATATAAGAAATTATTTATTGTTAAACTGCAAAACATGGAATCACTAAAAACAGATTTTCGCAGTAAGCAATGACTGTTTTATAGTAAATGATTTAAATATTTAAATAATTGTATTAGCCATTAGGTCAAATATGCATTAAAATTAAAACATTTTTTATTTCAGTAACCGAACCTACACAAAGTTAAATACATACATTCAGTAACTCATACTTAAATGTATACATACATTTAGTAAGTGGTACTTACATGTATACATACATTCAGTAATTCATACTTATACATATATATTCATTACACTGGTTATTATCTTAGAAGCCAGGTTCTTTTCTAATATTTGGGTGCTGATTCCAAAAATACTATCAGTATTATTCTATTAGGTCAGGTTTCTCTGATATCCATACCACTTGTTTTCACATTTAAACACACTTTCAATAATATGAAATCTAGAAAATGACCCCCTGGATCTTACAGTTATAATGTTTACAGATATAACAGTTTGTAATTCTGATGAGTTTATTCATTACCCGATTGACTTAATCCAATTAAAGCTAATAAAACAAACAGACTCTATGATAATTTTACGGTTGGAGGGGAAAATAAATACAACCAACCAAAAATACAACCAACCAAAAATACAATAAAAAAAACCAATTATGATGTTGCATACATATGCAATATAAATGTATATATGTCATTAGTGTTAAATTTCATATAATTTGTATTAATTATACACTGTATTTATTACACTAATACACTGTATTTATTGCACTAATCTATTTCAAACAGTTTTTGGTATAGAATAAATATAGTAATTTGAAATATCTTGCGTGTATTTGAATTGGTACAGCTTAGAAATCTTTAAAAAAAGTTTTGAAAATCTACATAGAAGTAATTTGAATCATTTTAAAGTTAAACAATTGTTATTAGTTTGTTATCATTGTTAAATACTAATTTACTGTGAGCTCCAGAAGATGTGTAAACAACCCAAACTTGTTCTGCTAAGTTTGTGGACTTTTTACTGTAGGACATTGTACTTACTGTAGGACATTGTAATTACTGTAGGACATTGCAAAACAATGACTTCTTTGATAAAGACCGCATATTTTCATTATTTTGGATGCCCCATTATTGATCAGGGCAAAAAATGTGCCCCACATACTTGCTGTAGTAACTGTTCTTTGGTTCTGGCATTGTGGTTTAATGATAGGAAAAAGCATATGATGTTTGTAGTGCCTATGGTATGGTGTGAAAAACAAAATCATGTGAATGACTGCTTTTTTTGCATGAGTAAAACTACTGGACTGAGATTTAAAACAAGAAACAAAACCAATTATCCCACTGTAGCATCTGCTATAAAACCAGTTCCACATAGTTCTGAGTTGCCAGTTCCCATGCTAGACAAGCAAATTATAGCATGCATAGACAAACAAATTATAGCATAGATAAAGAGGAATCAGAACAAGAAAATCCTTCATCATATATTGAATACCAGCTTGAAGAATGTACGTCTACCTCAATGCAGTTCTGCATTGTCAAAGACAAGGCAGAACTGTTAGCATCAAGACTTAAATAATGGAATTTGGTGCTGGTGAAGTGCAAATTACATCCTTTCGTAATCAAAGTTCTGAACTGTAAAGCTATTTTCAGACAGTTAATCAGCAGTACTTTTGTCCAGATCTTAAAAGACTGTTTTCACTTTTGGATGTTGACCGTGATGATTGGTGTCTGTCTTTTGATTCCAGTAATTGTAGTTATATTGCTGAATGCAATCAACTATCATCAGTACAAATGGAAAATATGTGGCAATCTTATAGTAATTAATTTACTGTTAGGCATGCAAAGTCGCTTCAAGAAATATATGCGCTTTTTATGATTGTGGGAGCCACAGGAGCACTACGCGAAAGAACAGCACAGTGTTAAATCTAACCTGCTGGTTGATCAAGGAAGCATTCTCTTTTCACAACTTTATGTAAAACTAGGACTAATAAAAAAAATTTTGTCAAAGCCATGGATCCATAGAGCAAT